GGTGGTAGATAGAAGAAAACCATATCTTCAATCTTCTGAAAAAAGAAGATTGAAGATTGTTGGTTTCAGACAGTAATTATTTATTAAATATTATTTAATGTTTCATTCACAGTGCCTAGAAGTCTAAAAGTATATTCTCATAGAATATTACATATAATGCCTTGTGATATTTTTATTATAATTAACTTTCAAACAGACTTATAATTTACATCCCATCATAAAAAGATAATTAAAGTAAAAGCTAATGAGCATGAAATTCTCATTAAATTCAGGTCAGTCTAATCCATAAAATCCTTTTTAAAAAAGGAAAAACCAGATTCTTTCTCTGAAAGTAAACTTTTTTTGACAAATCCTTTCTGTAGAGAGAATTTATTAAATAGAAAAGCAACTTCTGGAATTAATAATTCATGTGTCGTAGTGATCCTCAAAAGACTCTGCAGAAAACCTCAAATCACCTTGTAGTTTGGGGCAGGCAAGCATTGGAAGGAATGATCCAGGTTGCACTACAATATAGATTTTAGAATAGAAAAGCAAAAAACAAAAGTGAGTTGTTTTAACTGAAATTAAATGATAATTAGTACAATTCATTCAGAACTAGAGTAATGGATCCCTCACACCTTTCAGAGCATCACTTCTATATTCTGGAACTTGGATCATTTTTGAATGTATTTTAAAAGCATACCGCTGCAGGATGAGCTGCACTTCTGCCCCAGTGATCAGGTTGAGATTCTAGTACTGCTAAGTAAGTGCAAGTGTATTAATTTCAAACAAGTAGCTCATAGTTTAGAGTGAAATATACTAATCAGTAGTCACCAAAAGGAAGAGGAGAGACAGAGCAGTAGAATATATTGGTATTTTTAAAACCAAAAAGAAAAAAATTACCATTTCTCAAAATGTTCTCTAAATTATTTTATAACTTGAATTATTTAAATTGCTCCAAAATGTATATGCGTATTAATTAATTAATTTTTTAATGTCTATGTAACACCCCATTTAAAAGGAATGTCTCTAGTAAGGCGATTACAGGTAATCCTCTACTTAAAACCACAATTGGGCCCAACATTTCTGTTGCTAAGCAACACAGTTATTAAGTGAGTCATGTTCCATTTTATGATCTTTTTGCCACATTTAAGCAAATCCTTGCAATTCTTAAGTGAATCATGCGGTCATTAAGCAAATCTGCCATTTGCTTGTCAGGAGTCAGCTTGGAAGATTGCAAACGGTGATCACATGACCTCAGGATAATGCACCTGTCATAAATACATGTCACTCAACAAGCACCTGAATTTTGATCACGTGAATGAGGACACTGCAACGGTTGTAAATGTGAGAACTGGACATAAGTCACTTTTTTTCACTGCCATTGTAACTTTGAACAGTCACTGACTAAATGGTTGTAAGTCGAGAAGTATCTGTATATGAACCACACGTTATTTAAGAGCAGTTCTTTAAAATGCACCAATAAATATTCATTCTCTTATACATACATTCTTTTATTGTATCAGAATGATCACTCTATTGATTTTCAGCAAACCCAAACACTTTTCTTTCATTAACATTAGTATTCAGCAAGTCTAGCCACTGAAAACCCATTTTCTAGGCATAGTGTGGAGTTGGGGTACTATTGTGATGGCAGATCCTCCTTCTATTCATTTAAATGTTTACAGGCAAGCAGCACGCATCTTGCTATAAAGCTGTGGCCATGGTTGATCTAATGAACAGAAAAAGGTGGTCATGAAGTACCATTGTACTGCTCTCTACTTCGTGTTTTAACTATATCTTTCTGCCCTCCTGTTAAAAGGAAGAAGTATACCTGATAATACATGGGTTACCTACAAATATTGGACAGCAGCATTCCTTCTAATATTGGGGATTGAAGATTAATTTCAGTGCTCCATTCTATTTACATTTAGTAAATTGGTTATTGATTCAGTGCTTTAACCTTTCAGTATAATGTCAGATTTGACAAGTTCCAATATTGTGTTTATGTGTTTGTGTGGGTACACGCTCACATGTATTCCCTTTTGATTATCCAGGGCAGTACCTCCTAGTTCTCTCACTAATTCCAAAAGTTGGTGACTCTGGCCTCTGCATTTTTTCCAGTTTACCAGCATCACCAGTGTACTTTTTCCTTATGCTACAAGACAAAGAGCAATGAGAACCCAATACAAGAGCAATTGATGCGATCTTAGATTTAGTATGTGCAATATCTTTTCAATAACAGCAAACTGTCTCTTAGGTTTAAACGAATTGAAATGTTTTTCACACCTCCGCTATGCATTAGTCTTCCTTGAGGTTAATTTAAAACATTGTTAATCTGAGAAAAAACAGCAGATAGCATGATAGTGTTCATTTGTACCATTTGTACCATTTTTTTTATTGGAGGGAAGACCAGTTGAATTTAGTGAATCTTATATCTTAAAAATGCTTAAGATTGTTTCTTTTGCTTTTACATTGTTCCAATAATTACCTAAATGATTTTCTAAAATTTACACAGGTTCCCTTTCCATTATGTACAATTGCTGTTGCTTTGATACCTTGCTTCCTTCTTTAAAGGACTAGATATGGTACATAACTGTATGAATATTTTATTAATATACTGAGTGAATCAATTACTTCACAAACTTCTAATATATTTTTTTTAAAAATTGGGATTTGTTTGGATGGATGTGGTTAAACTTATATGACTATTGGTATAGGTTTTCCATGTCTAAATGAATCAGACTCTAAACTTTTATCTGAATCCATGGTACTTGGATATAAATGGAAAAGATCACTATAGAGAGAGGACCTATACGGTAAAGGCCTTTTTGCATAGCTTATGAACATAATAACTCAGTAATTCTTTTCCAAAACTATAGTTATAATTAGACCCAATGGGGGTCTCTGTCTTTGATCATATCACAGTAACTGTGACTTTACATTGGAAAATGTCACTATTGTGAAGGTTTATCACCTGTAGAGCTAGTCTTTTCTCCAATGCCATGTTCAGCTCTCATTAGCATTATTCAGAGTTTCATTGTTAATTAGACTGATGCTTCAGTTACAATGATCATTGTCAAGAATAATCATGGCTGCTTATCTGAAGAAAAAAGAATATTCACTGTTGCTGATTTTTTTAAAAATGATATTTTAGTAATGCCTTTTGATTTTCATAGATATATACTATACTAGCTGTGATGAGATATTTTGCATAAGCTGCACTCAGTGATATTTGCAACCTGTGTACTTGTCTGCAAAATAAGAATCATTAATTCATTATTAACTCTAATACAATTCTTCTGTAAAAGCAGAAATGCTCTGGTTCTCAGAATTATTGGCAGAATATTTTCTGCAGTTGTGGAACTCTTCTACAGTTCCCATAGTTTTTATCTAGATACTATCGATCAAGAATCTCATGTAAGCTCCATGTCTATATATATGGAATCTATTGTTTTATATGCTAATTGACTGAAAAAATACATATAAAAGGAATGGGCAGTCTTCTGGGGCTCAAGATCCATATTAAGTGTTATGTTATTAAGCATATGGATATTTATACATTCATTAATTTTAGTCTGTCTTCCATTCATACTTCACCTAAACGTTCCAAATCAGTGTCTCAGCTTTCACTTTATCCATCCTGCCCTTCCATTGTGTCCTTTCTTCTTTTCCCAACTTTCTGATAAATCCCTTGAAAAGCAGGTTATATTTTTAAATATACTATGGACACTTATTTATAACATACACGTAGGCTATATAACATTAGTTCTGACACCGAGCTTGTTCAGAGATAGATACAACTCATAAGCTGCAGTATGGTGATTTTATAAAAGCATTGCCATTACCGTTTAGCTGAACCATTTCTGGCTCCTGATAAAGTACAGCATTAGTGAAATCTCTTCTGGCAGGAGAAAAAAACACACATGGTTGTGAGTTTGGTAGCACAGAATAAATGGGGTTACACTAAGAGAGATAAGCTAAATTTAAAAAATTTCTGTAACTCAACTGAAAGATATCTGTTTGTCTTTATCCGAGACACCCAAGCACATATTATGATGGTGGCAAGAAATCTACAGAAAAAGAATCACGCAAACCACTTACTGTAAAATAATTAAAGCTTATTTATGTCAAGAGGCCTTGGAAAAAAAAGAGAGCATAAACCAATTTGCATTAGCACTTACCAGTATCCCCTGCTTTCATTTCAATTAACGGATCAGCAGGTGTGTTTTGCAGTTAAAAAGATAAGCTATCAAGGAAGGGCATGATTTTTTGGCTGACCTGCAGACACCAGAGCTTGCCTGCTGATTGGGTTTGTACCTCTCTTTACCAATTTCTGAAGTGTCAAATTAACTGCTCTTCTCTGTTGTGCAGGTCTCGGCCCTGAAAAATCAACTGAAGAAGCAGTCCACAGCTACTGGTGATGGCGTAGCCAGGGCGTTCCTTAGAGCTCAAGTGGCCTTGTTTGGTTCCTACAGAGATGCGCTAAGATACAAACCTGTAAGCTAACTTTTATCATTCAGGGATCTATTTTGTAATTCTAAAGAATGTTTAAACATTTGAATTTTATCTATCACGATGCAGTTAGAAAACATGCTTGTTTGAGCCATGTTATTTTTGGAAAGCAATATACAGTGATCAGATGAAGAAAATTATTATTTAATTTTAATTATTTCATGCATTTATTATTTTTATAAATGACTCAAGTAAATGACTCCGGAGTATTAGCTATGTTTGCCAACTTGAGTCATTTATAAATGATCCTCCTCCTCCTCCTCGTCCTCCTATTTTCGTCACAACAACCCTGTGTGATGTGTTGGGCTGAGAGTGAGTGTCTGGCCCAAAATCACCCAGCAGGCTTTCATGCCTAAGGCCAAACTAGAACTTGTGGTCTTCTGGTTTCTAGCTTGGTGCCTTAATTGCTAAACCAAACTGGCTCTAAAAACACAAAATGCTTAATTTGCTCTTCATTTGTCTCACTTCTAATGTTAGTGGGTAAATTACTTGAAGAATGGAGAGTACAGTTGTCAGATTTCGGTTCTCAGGTTGCAGCAATGATGTTCATGTAGTCAGAATTATGTCGGAATAAGCTAGACTTAATTCCTAATACATATAATTCATTTATTTAGCTTCCAGTTCTTGGTAAATACAGTGATTAAAAGCTTTTAGTTCAGTAAATTTAAGCTGTCCTGAAATTTATATCTCTACCATGGAACGATCTTCATTTACAGTACTATCTTTCAGTAAAATGGTGCTTTTTAAAGTTGAATCTGTTATGACATTGTTACTTCATAATTTAACATTTTCATTCATGAATCTCCATACTGAAGAGATGGGACATAAGTGTTATTTCTGTTTTTAAACAGAAAACAAGATATGTCAACGAAGTATTGCTTCTTGCAATACCGGTAGTTGCCTTTTCTCAAAGAATGAAATCAATTGGTTTCATTCTGGGCATAAAATTGCTATTCCGTTATCCTGTTTGTAGTAGACTTCAGTTCTCATCTTTAGACACAGCTTGAGATAGTATTCATTAAGATCCTAGATATAAGATATATATATATATATATATATATATATATATATATATATATATATATATATATATATATATATATATATATATATATATATATATATATATATGCTAAAACAAATAAATAAATAAAACGAACACCAGGGTAAAATCATTAAACTATATGAGTTTAATGCACTATACAAATGCCGAGCTTTCGTCAGCGTTCTGCTGACATCATCAGGGCTTGATCAGCCAGTCTGTGGGAGTGTCTTTATAGGTTGAACACAGTCTGCACACGGCTTTTGGACCTAGTTACCGGTCCTAGTTGCAACAGCAGTGCTCCGGTGATGACTTTTCTTCCGTTGGTTGTTCCTATCCTGCAAGGCTCATTCACGTGGTTGCCTTCATCTGGTTCATTTGCTCGCGGCTTGGGAATAACTGGGGCATTCCCCCCTCTTTCTCTTATCTTCGATCTTATCCCCTGTTCTCCTTGTCCCTGTGGTCTTACGTCTTTATTCCTTTCATTAGTCAGGTC